ATTAATTGGGGTTTAGACCCTTGCTTATATACAAAAATGGATGGACTAAATTCAATCCCAAATAGTACTATAATTAATATATTACTTAGTCAGAGTAATATATGTATATACATACATGTATTTACAAACCTTACAAATTTAATTTTGTTTTCCTTATATTTATTATTTTTTCTTTAATAAAATATGAAATTATTTTCTTACATGTCCAAGGTACCACACATGTTTCATTACCTTTATTTTACTCTTCCTCTTCTTTCCACAAGTCCCTTCAACTTCATCTTCCACCTCAATCTCAAAGGAAATTGTGCAATCACTACCTATGCCCATACTCTGATTATAGAAGAAAGGAACTTTAACTTCACCTTTGTCATCCTATCTTTAGAAAGCCATGATTTGCCTCATCAAAGTGAACATTCTTATCCACCTTGAAATTTCTTTGATGTTCTTGCTCATCCATCATAGCTGCAAAAGTTGCCACAACTCAGACTGGATTGCCATGTCTTAGTCATCTTCTAAATTGCATCTAGTGCACCAATTTCATCTTCTAGATCTTTGACAAAGTTAGCCTTACCTCAAGCTAAGGAGAATTCCGCCATTATCCTAATAGCATTGCAAAGAATTTTTTGACTCAACAAAATGTTGCTGGTCATAAATAGAAGTTCATTATAAGGGCGTGGAAGAACCAATTTTCTTTGCCTTACGCTTTAAACCTAAAATTTTAGAGAAAGGGATGGATGTTCAATCAAGGTGGAAAAACGCCACAAGACTTGCTGCCAAGGTACAGTTATTTTGTGTGATCCAGCCTAAAGTTCTGTGGTTTTAGATTGGTAAAGGTTTGTCCAAATGTCCCGAAGCTATGATTCTTTCTGAGGATAACTGGCTTGAAGCTGTAAGATTCTGCTTTATTACTTAAGAAAGTTATGCTTTTCTTTTTCTAAATAGATTGACAAGCAGCATCGCAGAGGACACGATTTATATCGAAAGTTCACTACATGGCGATGGAGCAAAACAAAGGAGCCCTTTTTCCACTGGTATACTCTCTAAACACACAGTTAATCCTGTCGTTCCTAAAGACTTTTCTTTAACTAGGCTTGATGAAGGTGAAGGAAAGCATTGCACGATCTTCCTTACACATAAAGTTCATTATCTCAGTCCAGTAAGTGTCCTGTTATGTTCAATATTGAGCTCACTTGTAAACGCACAGAAGGAAAGGGAGAGATATGAAGTGAGCGTCCAAGATGGTCACATGATCTTTAAAATCGATGGAAGGAAAGTTGATACACAATGGACTGAGTGGATGTTTGTGATGGACACTGACGACAGGATATATATTAGAGAGGTATCATACATATCTTTTGATGGGCAATTTTCTTATACCTTGATCAATTATCTAGAAAGAGCATGGAAAGTTTCACCATTCTAGTTTTGTAGCGGGAGGGGCCGTAAAAGCAGCTGGGACGTTACGCGTAAACCAAGGTAAATTGGAGGTAAGATGCTTATAAATTCATAGCACATCCACTGATCGATCCAAATTTCCCAGTGTTTAGAAAATTTAAGTGGACACTATCGTCCAGAATCGGTTAACGCCTTCCACAAGGAACTAAAGAAAAGGGGTTGCATGTTAAGCAAATGTCGTGTAAGAAATGACTGTTATTATTGAATAATTATGAGATTGATCTTTGCACGGATTCTCAAGAACGTCAAAAACTTGGACGAGCTGCGGCATGTTGAGAGCTCCTCCGACTTGAAATTTTGCCCTTCGAGACATGGTATCGTATGGCCTTCTCCATGTTTCTGTTTTTCGTGCAGGCACCAAGCATGATATTCCAGGACAAATCGTTGATCGATGGCATGCCTTGCCTCGCTTGGGCTCCCGCACTTCCCATACATTTGCACCAGGAGATTTGCGAGGTTTCATGGACGGCTATGGCCGTGACCGGGCTATGCACAAAAGGGCGATGCTTGGCTTTGTTTCCTTCAAGTGATGCTCGCAGTGCCACCGTAAAAGAGCATTGTGTCTTGTGTATGGAAGTGGGGGGGACTACGCGCAAGGCCGTTTTCCTTCCCTTGTGCTGATTTTGCTGGCTCTTGCTCACTCAGATGATTAATGATCTCAGCAAGAAATCTCACAATAGCCTTCCGGGGGTAAATTTCCTAGAGAACTATGTCCCCAGTAGTATCATCTACCCTCTTCGACTCCCCGACACGATGGAACACGATGGTCCGGGTATTGGCTTTGAGAGATGCCAAGCTCACGTTCATCAGAGAAGCTTGGTTCATCATAGATGATACTACTGTGGACGTAGTTCTCTAGGAAATCCAAAGCTGCCAAACCTTGGAATGGAAAAGAGAAGGAATTCCTAAACACGGAACTCGACTGAAGACATAAATATGTGCCCCTCCTCATCGTCCAGACTACATGGCACTCTGGCCCAAAAGTACAGTGCTGTAAGTAGACCAACCATTGACGTCTTGGTTTTCATCCGGCTTTTGAAGGTTGGGAGCTTCAAGATGGTTGAATCCCATCCTCTGCGCATTGTTGAGGTTCGTGAATCGCGCTCTCTCCACGTCAGAGCCATGTGGCATCCTAGGTCACGCCCCATGGCAGTTTGTCATGTGTCTTTCCGCCCATTCGCTATGAAGTATATGGAGCTCTTCTTGGCTCGTGAGTCTGATCACTGTATCAGAGCGAATGGAAGTGTGATCTGAATGCTCTGATCATTCATGGCTGGTCCCAAATGCTATCCAGTCTCGTAGCACTTCCATTTGCTCTATTTGAATTTGGTTTTCCAGGTACGCCAGTTCTTCGTATTAAATTTGGGTGGAGCGGCTACCACATCTCATCACATTTGGTAGTCGCTCCACCCAAACTTGATGGGAAGAACTAGCGTACCTGGGAAACCAAATTCGAATGATACATGGATGAGTGAGGTCTGTGGATGATTACGACAAGGAAGGAGCCCTTGGACCAGCCACTAATGATCAGAAAACTGCTTGGAAGAAGCGATTTATATGTAGCAGTCAGATGGGGAAAAGAGAGTTACATATGGCTCTGCACCGCAGGTTCTTCTTGGGGCCCCAACAGGAGAAGAGGAGCGTGCTCGGGAGTCCTCGGCAGATGGCAATAGCTCTAGAGCCTTTGTGTCATTCCACTGGCGACATCAAGCTTCTAGAGGACGAGCTCGAAGATTTGGAATGAGTTTGGGAGGAAGGGGAATGCCATTTGGGATGTCCAAGGAAGTTCTTCACTTTGGAAGTGACACATCCTCTGAAACATGACGATCTAGATGGATGTGGAGGTGGCAGGGAGGAGTCCCCAAGGTCTAATCAGGAAGTGGAAATGCCTAAGGAGAACAGGCAAATGCTGAAGGTGGAACTGGATGTAGAGATTGCTGTCAGCCTGGCGCCCACGCTCAACATGAAGCTGTCATAGCGTTTATACCAGGAACGAGGCGATTGCTTGAGTCCATAGATCGCACTTCCTTTTGCCATTAACTTCCTCTAACTGCCTGGAATAATCAAATTTCCAATTTTGTTGCGATTTAGTTGCAGCTTTTGACAGAACACAATTTTGTAGCTCTAACTGACCTCCAACACCCTTTTCCCTCGGCAAGAGCATCGTGATACGGGTCAGTGCTGTAACTCCAAATGCTGTGCGTGGAAATTCGTCCTCTCACTCTCTGAAAGAGGACACTCAAAAGTTACTCACGAAATCCCACCCTCTGGACACAAAGAGCTCTACCCACTAAGAACACACTGGTAAACGTAGGTGAGGCCCAGCCTAACCTCACAAACCAGAATTACAAACTTAATATACTCTGCGCCTACACAACATGAGCAAGGCCCGCCACGGGAACAGCATATGCCCAAGCTGGGCAAAATCAGCTCTTGCAAGACAATGTACTACTAATATTTAGCCAGTGGCTTGAACCGCAGTGTGCAAAGCGAGGCCATCAAGAATGTTGACATCCCAGTCAGAAAGCTGGTTTAGTGTGACTCGGCAATGCTGAAATTATCTAAGACACGCTAGAGGCTACTGCAGTCTCAGCTCCAAGACTTGACAGGAGACCACCCCAACTTGTGCCAGGGAATAGTAAAAGTAATTTTGCGAGGAGAATTAACTGGGGGAAATGTGGAAGATTGTGGAGCCAAGCGTACTCCATAGAAATCATTCCTTGGATGGATGGGATCAAACGTCAAGAGATTTGCGAGATTTGGCGGCTGTGGATGTGATCGTGAGCGCATCTCAGCTCTTGACCTTGAAAATTCCTGGCTCCCAATCCATACTACCCTTCTAATTTAATGCCTCTAAAATCTTTCACTTGCGGCTTTTTCCCCTGCCGTTGGTACAAAGAGAACATAAAAAAGAGAGTTACAATGTTGATACCAGTGAAAAAAGGGGTCTTTTGTTCCATCGCCACTTATCAAATACTGACACAAATCCCCCCCTGATACTGATACTGTCGATCTATATTACAAAACAAGAGTTTCTTTTTCGAAACTGTGAGCTTCAAGCCAGTATGTGCTGGAAAGAATCATGGCTTCACGGGCTTTTAGGCTGGAAAGTCTCCAAAACAAAAGACATGCCTTGGCAGCAAGTCTTGCAGCGTTTTTCCACCTTGATTGAGCATCCGTGGAAACAAGTTTTAAGGGTGATATACCTCTTAAAAGGTACTAAATCCAAAAGTGATACCTCTTAACCTCTTAGAAGGTACTAAGCATGCTTTACGTTCTCTTGTGCCTTGGTTTGCTTCTTGCCACTCTTCTTCCTTCGCTTATCATGAGAGTAGATGGGCGATGGCGATGACGATGATTACAAGTAAGAATTTGTATTGCGTATAAAGGAATAAGAAATGCGCTGTTTCTCGTAGATATGCTTCGCCTGTTTAGATGGATGTCTCAAGCTTCCCTCCTTGACAATGATCACCCACTCCCCTTGACACCGGTGCTATCGAAAGCTAAGAACGATGAAACTTACAACTGATTTGCGATGGAGATTGTTACAGAAATTCCGGCTTTGCTGCTGTTACTTTGAACTTGTGGTCGTTTCTCTTCCCATAGTCTCTGCTGATTATTCCAGCAAGCTTTCCAAATCTTTCGATCTGGTAGACGGCATGGCCAAAGTAAGGCTCAGAATAAATTCCATTCTCTACCTCTGGGATGTCTTTGTGCTTGAGAATGGAAGACATGAACTCGAGGATATGTTCGCAATGGCTGTGGAAGTAGATGCCGAGGTATGCTGGCATCTCGGTGGCTGTTCTCACGTACTTGATTCTGGAAGAATAGATGTCCGCAATTGTTTGCTTCACTACTCTTTGCGGAAGAGGCGACACTTTCTGCACGTCCAGCGTAAGGAAATTAAAGACAAGAAAATATGCCACACACAACCTTCGCCTGCTCAAGAAGATCTGCCCAGTACGTTTGAAACTCCGAGGCAGCAGCGTCGTTTTGTAGCTCAGGTCGCAGTGCAAACATCATCGGGCCTACAGTTTGCACCTCTTTTGAGACCAGCAAAGAGCCGTCAAACTGAAACAGGGAGAAACATAAGCAAACGAGTTACAATCAATTTGACGAGATACTTACATGAGCATTATATTTGTTGACAAACTCACGGATGTATTTGTCCCTCCATATTCTCGCAACTTGCTCCGACTTGAGCTTGGACTTGAGCTTCGTCATCTCAAGTTCCAGGTCTAGCCTCTCCTTCACTGAGACTTCTTCTGCTTCAAGTGACTTAGCCAGGTCTTTTATAAAACTATCAGCCCCAAGCCCGGTAAAAGGACTGCGATCATCGCCACACTTTGTTTCCGGAGCCTCATTTTCGTGTTCACGCATTTGTCTGCCTGCAATCTCCAGAAAAAGCTTCGACAAGGTTTGGCCGAGAGCTGAACACATGTCCATCTGTAGCTCAAGTCTAGACTTCGCTTCTTCCAGTCCCCGGAGCAGCTTCGAGTATCTAAGAGACTGGTCGTTTTGTTTTGTGTCTTCGTCAATTAGTTTGCGAAGCTCTAAAGCATCCTTGACAGTTTCCGTGACTGTTCCATGCAAGGATCTCGCAAAGTTTGCAGAAGAGTACCAAGACTGCATGAAGACGGGAGTCAGTCGACAAAGACGAAAATAGAAACAAAGAAACACAGCTTACACTCCAAAGTTGCCTTGTCAAAGACTTGAGGCTCGGAGCTGAGACGGCAGCTTGTTCTTGCAGTTTCGTTAGCGAGTTCTTCATTGAGTTCATGCACTGCTCGCACTCCTCGGCTCTTTGACGGAGTTGAGGGACGAGTTTTGACGCCCGTTCCACCATTCCAGCAGTCTTTTCTTCAGCAATATGTTTGATGGTTTTAATTGGCTCCAGTAGCGTCTCGTCACCCTCACGGATGATGCCATGCAAAGCCTCCAGCAAGACTTCTAATGCCTTCCAGAACGCTCCGGTGTCGCTTGTTCCTTGACTGGGTATCTTCGGGGCTTCACTTGCAAGCAGCTTCTCAACCGATTCAATGCCGACAAAACAAACCGCGACAGTATCCTGAAATTCTCTGATGACCGTGCTGATCTGGTTCCTGTAGTTCTGTAGCTGTCGACCTGTCTCACTCTTAAACGTTTTCTCATGTTCTTCAGCCGCTTCTGCTTGTTGCTTCATAGCCTCCAAGGTTTGTAACAGATGAGCTTGCGTTTTCGCATGAGCAGCTTTCTCTTCTGGAATAGAACAGTCACTAAGCATAATTCTGGACAAAAGGAAAGCTTTTCTCTTGTACCTTCGAGAGTATGCACGAAATGCTTTGTGAGGTCGTCTATGCTCCTACTGTGTCTGTCCATGTCGTTCATTCTGTCCGTCTTCAGAGCGGACAAGGAGCACATCGTCTGCCCGTGAGCTTTCTTTTCCTCTGGAATAAAAAATAAAAAATAAAACTTGTAACACAATCCTATGGTGAATATCCGGAGATCACCTTGTAGTTCAAACTTCAGCAAGCTCACGCTCGAAGTAGTTGACTGAAGATTCAGCTTCGTGCTCTCGGCTTCAGATCTAAGAGCCTGATTCGACAACACCATCTCCTGATAGGCTAGCTCCATAGAGCGTATATGTTCTGCTGTTTTCTTCATTTTGTCTTCAAGAGAGCGACGCAGGCTGATTTCTGAGTCCAATGCAAGTTTGGATGTCTCCAGCTTTCGTTCCAAAGCCTCGAAAGACTCCAAGGACAAGGCATTTTCATTTGGTTCTGTGACAGTTTGGACGTACTTCATCTGAAATCCGAACCAAATGAACTGTTAATTTTCTTTCCCAAGTGGACTCTTACTTTAAATTCTTGTTTGACATCCGTCCGCGCTTCCTCTGCGATCGACTGGCACGCCTTTTCCATTTTAAGCAAGGTTGTCACTTTGATAACGTCCAGCATATCATCATGCTACAGAAAGGAAGCATGAGACGTATCGAAGCACACAATTCTTACCAGATGCTTTGCGTCCAACAAATCGGCCTTCTCTTTGCTCTTTGCGTCAGATATAATCTTCAACGCATTTCCTCGTGCCGATTCTACAAGCTCCTTCAGTTCTCGCGGCTCTGTACAAGCCTCAACGCCAGCATTTGTTCTTAGAAGATCGTCTAAAGCCGTCAGTGACAGCGTGCAGCTCTCCATTTCGTCCACAACATGGCCAGTCCTCTCTTTCATGAAAGAGTACGCTCCCTTTAAATCCTCCCGTTCCATATACAAACCTGATGTAGAAAATACAAAGCACTTACACGACTACTTCCGAACCATCACCCAAGGCGATACCTTAACAGTTTTAAGTGTTGAGGCCGCGGGTTAGTGACTACACTGGTCACACACCTTCGATGACTGCTTTTAGGCTTTGAACTTCGCCTTTGTCTGCTGCAGCTAAGGTAGAACGGTAATTCTCGTTTTCTACAAGAAGTTGCTGGACTTTCTTCTGCAATGCTGCACAACATCACACCAGAGTTAGAAAACAAACTAAGAGCTGGGAAAACACTTAGCACCTTCTACTTCGGCGACAAGCTTGGCATTCATTGAGCTGCGAGTGAGAATCTCTTTTTCTTCGAGAAGTTCCTGCACTTGAAGGCGCAATGCTGGCAACAAGCAGCCCTCAGAAGTTAAAACACAATTCCGCAAGAACAAACCGCTGCGTACCTGCACACCTTTTTGCTTCTTCGTGGTAGAGCTCATTCAAGGCATAGTTGTCCCTGTCTAGCTTCTCCATGCTTTCGTTGGCAGAATTGAGCAGCTTTGTCCGGGCATTGAGATCCTTCTCTGCCGTCGCCAGCATCGACGTGAGCTTCTCGTTAATCCCTTTGACTTTTTTGAGCTCCGCAGTGTTGAAGGCGGCATCCTCGAGCTCGTCGTTCGTCCTGCGAAGCTGTCTTTCGATGTCCGCCAGCCTTTTGGATGCCAGTTCGTTCTCTTCTCTAAGCCTGACCAGCTCTTTCAAATCGTCGGGACACTCCTCCTGGAGCCTCGTTAGCTCTTCCTCATGCCGGATCATCACCGCCTTGAGAGCATCGTTCGCGAGCTTCGTATCCTTGAGGCTCTTTTTGCAGCTTTCTATCTCCTGGTCGCGCTCACACACCGTTTCTCTCAGAGACTGGATCTCCTGCTGCTTCTCCAAAACATTTGCCTCGAGCTCGCGAATCTTCGCCTCGAAAGTTTCTTTCTCCTCCGTCCGTGCAAACTTCTCCGCGGAGGTTCTCTGGACGAGTTGCATGTAGCTTACTTCCAGCTTTGTCCTCGCACGATTGCTACTAGAGCCATTTCCCATATACTTGATAGGCTCCATCTCAAGCTTTGGAAGATAGCTCGTGAGAAGCTTGAATGCTGCCATGACCTTTTGAGCCGTCTCCTCGCCTAGATTCAACTCTGTGAGCACGCGAAACATCCCGATGGAATGGAAGTAGAGGCCGCGGTAGAGCAGATCCACCTGACGCGGCTCCAATCCATTGCTCTCAATCAGCTTCTTCCTGTCCAGCCCCGACCGCTTCAATCCACTCTGGAATCCCTGTGACTCACCGCCATTGACACCGTGAAAGCTTGCCGCCGCCGCCGCGAGGATCTTGACAAGCAGCCTGTCCAGCCACGCTTCCACCATCGCCGCCTGCTCCATCTCGATCTCCGCCCCGTCGACCCATGGCTCCCTGACGAGATCGGCCAGGAGATTACCGTCGGAATCCATGGCGAGATCGATGGATCGCTCCGCCCTCTCACATTCGCGAATCTCACCCAAACGAATCCCCTTGGGCGCCAATGCCAAACCCTACCACTGGAACGAATATTCACACGTCTCCGTACGAATGAGAATCTATGGCGGAATGTTCTTCCGTCCGCCTGCCGTACGTTATGAAGAACGAATATCCTTGGACCCAAAAGAGAATGTGCTTTCCGTACATTTTTATTCCCTGTAATTTATTTGGACACGGTGCTTTGCAGGCGAGATTGACCTCTTGGGCGGCAGCGCCAGGGCAATGAGGCGCGAGGCGATCGATCGAGGCTGGAATCGCCGCGACGAGATAGGGATCCCCCATTTCTCGCGGTAAGCGCAGATTAGGATCTTGCGAGCTACAGCGGAAGATCGGGCCTGGGGTTTTAGTCCGCCATGGGGAATCTTTGGATTGTCGCGATCAGCATCGCGCTGGGCATGGTAATCCTAGCTCCTGGCAGGGCGGGAGCGCAATGCGTTCCATCCAGGGGATGCACGGCAGTGGCCTTCTTTAATTTCACACAGAACGAGCAGCTCAACACAGTCTTCACCACTTTCAGCGTGAACTTCGCGCAGTTGCAGCAGTACAACGATCTTCGGAGCCAGGATTTCGTCCAAGCTGGGCAGTTTGTCAAGATTCCCTTCCAGTGTGGCTGCATCAATGGGAGGCTCGCACATACCTTTGTTTTCAACAACGTGAGCCAGTCCGATTCGTTTGCATCGATCAACACCAGATACTATCACGAGCTCTCCAACGTGGCGTCCATGAGCGTGGATCCTTCGCTCAACGGACAGCTCTTTCCTGGACAACCAGTTAATGTGCTCGTGAATTGTTCTTGCGGGGATCCACGCTTTCCGGTGTTTGGGCTTTTCATGACGTATCCGGGTCAGAGAGGGGACCTGGTCCGAGATGTTGCTACGAGGTTTAACACGACTGTCCAGAACTTGACAAACTACAATCCTTCTCTTGGAAACATAAACTCCTTGTCTCCTGACGATCGCCTCTTCATCCCTGCTACTCTTGGTGAGCTTCTTTTCTTGTCTATTGTTTGCTGATATTGTTTTGTTTCTCAGCGAATGGAACATACCCGCCATTCAGGTAAGAAAAAACCTTTTCTGTGACAATTCTCTCAAAACGTATTTCCTTGTTAAACTCCCAGCGCTGGTAGCGATGGTAAGTGAATGACGCAGTTCGTTGTCGCTCCCTTGTATCTGATCTCCGTGGCGCTGCAGGTTCCGGGTCAAGCAACACAGGTCTGATTGCTGGAGTCGCTGTTGGAGTTGGAGTGGTCGTCCTTGCTGCGGCGGTATCACTGGTGTGGTTTTTCATGCGACGTTCGAAAAAGAAGAAAGTTGCCAAGTATCCCATGGACATGGAAGTGACTTCTGCCGACACCAAACATGGTTTGATGCAATCTACGTTTCTTCGAGTCTCTTACCGGTTTGTGAATGATGCAGGTCTTCTTCACAGTCCAAGCGTTGGGTCCGTTCCCGCTGGCTTGTCAGGCTTTGCCGTGGATAAATCAGTCGAGTTTACATACGACGAGCTTTCGGCAGCCACAGACAACTTCAGTATTTCAAAAAAAATTGGTGAAGGTGGATACGGTGCAGTGTACTATGGTGAAATTCGTGACCAGGTTTGCGGCTGTTTTTCTTTTAGTTCAGCTAACAATTTTTTTTATCCTCCAGAAACTCGCCATTAAAAAGATGAACATGCAAGCCACAAGAGAGTTCATGTCGGAGCTCAAAGTCTTGACTCATGTGCACCACACCAATCTGGTAAGAAATGGTTCTTTTTAAAGCATTGAGCTGTATTCGCCATTCTTTCCAGGTCCAACTCATTGGGTACTGTACAGTGGATTCTCTATTCCTGGTGTATGAATATGTTGATAATGGTACATTGTCTCATCATCTGCGTGGTTCAGGTATGCGAAGGTCATATTGGAATTCTTAATTCTCTTGAGAAACTTTCTACAGCGCCCTCAAGGCTTACCTGGAACCAAAGAATCCAGATAGCACTCGACGCTGCCAGAGGTCTCGAGTACATTCACGAGCATACAAAACCAACATATATCCATCGGGATGTGAAATCTCCCAACATTCTTATCGACAAGAGATTACGTGCGAAGGTAAATAATTCTTCGTTTGTTTCTCATTTTTCTTTGCTGATGATTGGCACCGGTGCAGGTAGCCGACTTTGGACTGACTAAACTTACAGAATCCGGTGCTGGAAGTGTCTCGTTGACACAGCCGACGAGGCTAGTTGGGACCTTTGGCTACATGCCTCCCGAGTAAGTCCGAGCCTTCTCTCAAATAGTGTAGTTGTAAGCTGATCAATTTGTGTTGCAGATACGCTAGATTTGGTGATGTTTCTCCTAAGATCGACGTCTACTCTTTTGGAGTAGTTCTTTACGAGATCATCTCTGCAAAAGATGCTATCGTTCGTACGGTAGAGGGCGACGACTCAAACCCAGATCCCACACAAAGAGTTGCCAAGGGTCTAGTGATGATGGTACGCAATATATAGCTAATTGTTAAACTTGATAACTTTGCTGGTGCAGTTCGATACAGCTTTGAAAAGCCCCGACGCAACGGAGAACCTCAAAAAGCTTGTAGATCCAGCACTTGGCACAGATTATCCTTTCGACTCGATCTGGAAGGTAAACAAAAGTTGAGTGCTCAGAGGTCGCGACTTGTAACATTTTCTTGTGTGATCAGCTGGCAAAGCTGGCGGAAGCTTGCACACAGGAGACCCCAGAAAACAGGCCAAACATGCGAGCAGTGGTGGTAGCTCTCATGACGCTGTGTAGCACCACGCAAGAGCTCGACTTTAGCACCAGCAGCCAGTCCAACGCTCAACTGAGAGGCCTCGTCTCCGGGAGATAGCAGCAAAGGGAAAAAAAATATCCTCATACAAACTCTACTTGTAAATTTATGCGCTTTCTTTGTTCCAGGAATTTTATCATCTCTAGCGAGAGATCTTAGTCCGCAAATTTTGGGACTCTTGAGTTTAAAGCTTGAATGTGATCAAACAATGTGACACAGATAAGATATTGGGATCGCCCATTGGCCACTCTCATCCACTCACAGCCAATCCAAGCACAGGATTTCGTACGCTGTGGTCATTTCGTTTTGGGCCACCTTGTACGGAACCATATCCACTAAGCCAAACAAGCCCGCATTGTGGTGTGGGAGGAGGAACAAGAAGAGGAAGGAATGGCGGCCATGTCCTCCTCGCTGGGTCTCAGAGCCGCTAAATCCAAATTCACGGGCTCATTCGATGCGAGCGAAGCCGCGAGCGCGAGATTCAATCCCAATTCCCGCGTTGGATTCGCGCGAGCGAGTGCGAATCATGAGCAATCGCAGAGCAGGAGGGCGGCGATGGTCGGCCTGGTGGCGGTGGCGGCGGGCGTGCTGGCCGTGGAGGAATCGCGAGCGCTGACCGGGATCAAGATCAATGGGCCGCCTCCACCATCCGGAGGACTGCGTAAGCAAAGCATTTCTCCCAATTCTCCGCAAATGGATTGATCGATTCCTTGCGCAGCTGGGACGGAGAATGCCGATCAGCCGCGCGACTTGGATCTGCCACTCAAGGAGAGATTTTTCATCCAGCCCCTATCGCCCGCCGAGGCAGTGGGGCGAATCAAGGACGCTTCCAAGGACATCGTGGGCGTCAAGGAGCTCATCGACAAGAAGAGCTGGCCTTACGTTCGCAACGATCTGCGCAACAAGGCCACGTACCTGAGGTATGATCTCAAGACCATCATGGATGCCAAGCCCAAGGCCGAGCGCAAGGCGCTCAAGAAGCTCACGGACAATCTCTTCGAGGTGATTGACAAGGTAAGAACTCCAAATTCACCTTCTCGAGCCAAAAAAATCCGATTTTTCACATCTTTTCTTGCTTGTTTCAGCTCGACTTCGCAGCTCGAGCCAAGAATCCCACCGACGCGGGCAAGTGCTACGCCGAAGCCGTGGCTGCCTTGGACACTGTTATTGCCAAAATCTCGGCTTAAATAAATCTCTTCCTCCCACCACTGTTGATAAGAAAGAAAAAAAATCCTGTGCATGGATGATCGACTAAGAACTTAGCTGCGCACGTAACGAAGCGACATACCTCATCTCATCTCACACGAGGAGATTTACGAGAAGAAGCAACAGTAACAGGAATGGAGAGTGGAGGAGCGATTGTCGTGCGGCGTTTGGAAGTCCCGGATATGAATCTGGAGCTGGAAGAACACACTCCTCGCCGTTGAATAGCACCTTGTGTGGAAAAGCCCAGCCTTTGGAGAGTGAGAACAACGAGGGATCCTTTTGGAATAGCATCTCGGACTGGACCACTCCATTCTCTCCAGCTTCTAGTAGCATGTCGTTGTAGCTGCGAATTCCCCAGAACATATTGGTGTCATCTGCGAAACTCAGTGTGAGAAGCGATGAAGAACAAGCGATGGCTGCTTTACGTACCACCGTGGATTGGCAGCCGAGTGCTGTTGAAGCTAAACACCTCCTTGAGCTGTTTGAAGTTGGGGTGCTGGACGACGAGGTTCCAGTGCGTGTAGTTCTGGAGGTGCCGGTTGAGAATGCTGACTTTGGAGCGCCAGTAGCCTTTGTAGTTGTTCTTGACGTGCCAGTGGATCTTGATCGGGCACATATCTTTGGAGCATTGAAACGGGGCCTGCTTGTGGAGATTCAAAGCCGTCGCTATGCCAGGAGTTTGGAATCCATCGTCAGTTCTGGAAAGTCACAAGAAAAAAGCTTAAAAGTAGTTTTCAAAACGAGGAACTCTTACGAGCTGATGTTGCACAAACGTTCTCCTGCCTTCGGTTTCTGCGAGCAGTCGCATGCACAGTCCTTGCAGGGAACGACGTCGGGATTGTAAAAGGATGAAAACGAAACGCAACAAGATGATGTTCGACGTAGCTTGTAGGTGCAAGAAGACTGCCATGTCACTGGAACAAAGAAAAGAACTATTAGTAAGGGAGAGGATGGCAAAGAAAAGCAGAAAGAAGGAAAGAAAACAAACTGTATGCTCGGCGTCCATGTTGTCCATCCGGTATCAAGCTGGAAGTAACATTAGTTGGCGTAGAACACGAGTATCCTGGGATGGAAAACGATAGAGGAACATCAGGTGGTCTTCTCGCAAGGCCAACTTTCATCACAAACGAAGCAATGGATGTCGAGGGATCCTGCACAGCAGACGATAACACTCCACCCCTGCAGCAATTCGCGGTCTGGAGAGTGCCAGGAGCTTCTGGCTGGAGATCTATCATCACCGGTCTCGGATGGCAGGAGTGAGGAGAGTTCTCTTCCTCGACTCGAGCGCAGTCGCCTTGATCTATGGCTTGAGCGCCTTGGACTTCCCATATCACCTCCTCCTTGCTCCATTCCCAGCCGAAGCTCCATCCCGGACGAGCTTCGATGTGCCTGTAGAGCTGCTGGTTTTCGATCTTTACAGAAGCCTGATCGATCAAAGACAAAGCTAAGCTAAGCGCACAAACAATGAAGAAAGAACTACGAAGGAAAAATGTAACCACCAACGAAGAGAAAATGCGAAGAACACATACCACATAGCCATCGCCCTGATACCAGTTCAAGATATCCCAAGTGACGACGATGCTCCCTCTCTGATCCAAAGGATCCACAGCACAATCTGCAAGAAATGCCGCCAAGATCAGCAGCGCAACGGCGCGCATTTTGGAAGGAGGAGAAATTACCTCTGGACAATCCGCCCTGGCCTGTGTCGCCATCGCTTCCTCGCTCTTGCCAAAATCTAAAGAGCCCTAATTTGTCCTCAAGGAGTATTCGCGAATATGCTCAATTGTATTAGATTAATAAGTTTAAAGTCCCCCAATTTTAGTTTTCTTCAGCTTGTTTTCTGGGTAGGTAATGGTGATAGCATTTGCAATGCTACTTATGCACACTAGCATATCCCATAGTATATATAAAAGTATATTTTAAGGTTTGTCATAGTGGAAATGAGAGCATTTGGAAAGAGTTCACATTGAGGATGCCAAGAAACTAGCCCAAATCTCTCCAGCAATGAATCAAAGACTTTCTCTTGTTCGACCTGGCTTGCTTGAGGGAAGGCTCGTCCCACAACAAGGAATTTCCAAAAGAACAGGTCTCCGCATTTTGCAGATGCCCACTTGAGGCAAATGCTAGAATTGTGAAGATAGCATGCATTTTCGGCACCATCGTACGAACATGTGTTTTAACTATTTGGTTCTTCCTGTACATAGGGCGGACGCACCATAAGCGGGCCATGACTGCACCAATAGCTGGCCACATTTGATCCATTGCTTATTTTAGTTTTCCTGGGATGAATTTGCAGCACAATACCCTGGTTGAACCTCAAGAAATTGTAAGAGGTCATGGCTTAAGGTAATTGAGATTGTAATGTGTGCAGGAAAAATGAGAATGTTCTTGAGATGAATTTTTCTAGATAAGTATTTCCAATATAATAAAATGTCTCTTTTTATAAGATTTCTTTGAACTAGCTTGAGAGAGCTCGTATCTTAAATAAAAGCCATCGGATACAATTAGGGTTTATCATTAAGGGCAACCTTTTAGAACCCTAGACGTAAGGATTTGCTTGCAAAGTTGCGAGGTGATGAAGAAATGGAAGAGCTTGTGGAGTTTATTGAAGACATAGATGGGGCAGAGGGTCATGAATTTCACCTTTCTGATGGTAGAGTGGACGTAGATGTGGTTCTGCGGGTGTTCTCGGCTACCTCCATCTCCGTGAAGCACGAGGAGCCACCAAGGGTCAGATGGTCTTGGTTCAAGAGCCATTAATACAATATTAATTATATATAAAAAAATAACTTCTTTTTGGAAGAATAGTTATTATTACAAGTGCTGAAAAATACTACTAATTATTCCCCATGGTCATTGAGCATAAATTGTTTCAAATTTGGTAAAACTGAATAGGTTATGGCAGTTTTTTAGAACACTTCCTCTAGAAATAAATATGAGACTAATTGAAAATAACTCTTCATGGGCTTATTGGCTTCTTCAAAGTAGAAATGGTGATAATTACTTGAACTTACCAACATTGCTTCAAGAATCTATTATATTACCTTACACACAAATAATAATGTCTTCTATTATTCCTATCTCTATAAGACATTTTAGACCCCCACATTGCATCTAATATAGTTATACTTCACTCAATGATGATATTTTTCCCATTAATAATGTTATAGTTTCTTTATTACCTGGTGACATACATATTCATGAAATTATTGAATTTGTTGATATTAAACACCCAGAAGATTTTCCAGTTGAATTTAGTCTTAAACTCTTGCTTAAAGAAAGTGTTATCTTTATTCTATTAAGGAATATGCTAGAGGTACATGCTTTATTTTTAAACATGCCTTACAAACAATTCTAGACTGTGAAATTGTCTCTAACTCCTACTTTCACCATCAACATAGTATACAAAGTAAATATTTTCACCTCCACCAATTTTTTGTTGAGTTTGATTCTTCTTCCATGCATTGTTTGTGACACTGAAGGACACTAGTCAGTAACAAATGCTGACAGCCATCTGATTTATATATCTATTGATCCCAAATTTGACAAATTTGATATAGCTAATGATGTTACTCTAAAGGTAGTATTATTGTTTCAAATATCTAAATGATTCACCATTTGCAAATTCAGGAGCTCATGGTATTCAAGCAATATCTTTGAAATTAAGTAGTGATTTTGCAAAGATTTCTGACTGTTTCATCCTCTCAAGCTAAGACACTATTTTGGATAGGCATTACATTATATTGAGGGGAATATAGATTTCATCTTTATCTTTAGGAGGTCACTTTACAAGGTAAGGAGAAATGTCTTTAACTTTTCAAACAAAATACTCACAAACTCTCTCTTTCTCAGAAATGTAATCTCAAACTAAATTCCAAAGCTACAACCAGTGTGGCACAAGGAAAACCTGCCCTCACTGCCAATGTTAAGTAGAAATTCTTGAGTTAAGTCTAATGAGCAAGACAAAGAGGCCTCACCTAAATTAACCTAGTGTCAACCGTATATATGGTTGTATTTTCACACTTGAGGTTGCTTTTGTGAGTATTGACGTATTTCTGAGTTAGAAAAAGGTGAAAAAATGAAGAAGCTCACTGAAGAAGCTTCCTAAGAATATTTCATCTAGAGAGAGAAAAAATGATGGATTTCAGAAGTGAGAATTTGAAGAAGTTGTTTTCTATGAAGTTGAAGATCTTATCAAGGGAAGTTCTTTGGTGGTGAAATCAAGTTGATGGAAGTTGTGGATGAAGAGTTATTAGCTGGAAAAGTCTCCGTTGTTGGTTGGTGTTTAAGTTTTTGGTAGTTTAAAAATTAGGTACGGCCATTTAGTTATTTTACAGTTCTTGTTTTCTCTCAGGTTCTAGAGTTCTCTCTGCTCAAAGATGGTGGGACTTCTTATAGGCCGTCGAGATTCCATCACCGTAGAGGAGTTACTACAAGCCCAGCACACTTAGTATGAGTGATTTGTAGTTACTGCTGAAATACAAGCCCTAGGGGAGTCTTTCCCGTCTTTCTTTGTTGTCATGTATTTTTCTTGACATTTTTTTGTGCGTTAGCTGGGAGGGCTTAGTCGCAGTAACTGCGCAGTAAACTGGGCCTGAGGAAAAGGTTGGTCATCTGCGGGCATCTGCAGTAAGCATCCTTTGCCGCAGTTGGTTCTCGGTCTAGCAGGTAGATCCCCGGACTGGGATAATTTTCTAGATTTTTCTACTAGGAGGGCAGAGAAGAATCGAGGCCATTCTGAATGAGCAATGACGAGACTGTTGCAGAACTCGCCTGAAACCAGCCCTGAAACTAGTCCGAGGACTTCGGACTCAAGTTTGAATCGGGAGGAGTGGGGGCCATTTGAACTAGCATTGCCCACACCTCAAGCAGTAAATCCTCAAATGGCACAGCCTGCCAACGCAAGGATGAAGTATCCAACGTTTACACAGATTGACGATCTAGACGCTCACGTAACTACTTTTGAAAATGTTAGCACAACAAATCAAGAGCAGGCAGATGCTGTGAGAGTTTGTCTGTTTCCGGCGACGTTGCTGGGAGCAGCAGCAGAGTGGTATGGTCAGGTGAATGCAGCAGCAGCCTTTGCAGCCTGGGTGGCCCTCAAAACATCATTTCTCAATGCTTTCCGTCCTATGGGATTCAAGCAACGTATCAGTGACGAGCTAAATTCAATTCAATTGTTACCTGGAGAGACATTGCAAAATTACATTCTTCACTACAAGAGGCTGCTCGCGAGGAAAGATCCACATGACCAAGTTTGCTAGTTCTTGAATGGGTTGCCATTTGAGATTGGGTTCCACGTGAAGGTGCAGAGACCAGCAGATTTGAACGCAGCAGTGGAGCACGCAGCAACATGGGAACAGGCCCAGATGTTGTCACAGAATATTGCAGCTACAGCTCCACCAGTAACATATGGTAACTTGTTCTCACCGAATATTGCACAGTACCAGACTGGTGTGCTTGGAGCCGTAGCAGCTCCACCTTTGATTCCGGTCCAGCCATCAGTTCTCTAGTTACCTGCAGTAAACATGACCAGATTTGAGAGCCAACTCACGAAAGTGAAAGAAGATGTGGTGGAGACACTTACCAAGAAGATGGCAGAACTCCAAGTGAGTCTGGTTCAAGGTTTGGGAGCTCTAACTCGGCCGGTGCATGAGAGAGTTGAGATCTGGTGCATTAAGTGTCAAGGATATGGCCACTATCCTAGTGAGTGTCCGAATCTGGTTCCAGCAAAAGCTCCTTGTCCAAATTGTGGGAAGTTCGGCCACAAGCCTGAGGAGTGCTTTTTTCATCCAGCTCGTCTGACGCCCAAGTTCCAGCAGCAACCTGTAGTCGCAAGCTATTATGTTCAACCATAACTTCCACAGCAGCACGTTCAGCCACAATTTCACCATCAACAATAATTTCCACAGCAGCAAGTTCAACACTAGCAGTATGAGACGTACCCAGGTTTTAATGTAGGAGCTCCAGGGGACGTGCAGAACTCGGGGCCAATGCTGCAACAGACTGCCGGTGGAGGCCAAGGTGGCAGCCGGATGGGAATGTTCGGAGGCAGAGGCAGAGGTCAAGGCCGAGGTCCGATAGTGTGCTACCGGTGTGGGGAACCTGGACATATTGCGCCAAACTGTCCGAATGCACAGAAGTCTGAAGAGTATCAGCCAATCTGTGGGATATGCCAGACACAGGGGCTTCATCGGCAGGAGGATTGCCCCTACTGCTTGCAAGTGCCAAATCAGCGTCAAAATCAGGACAAGAGAAAAGAGGTGGTGGACACTAAAGCCATTTTCGTGAATTTTAAAGAGTTAAGAGTGGACACACCTGTGTGGAATGTCAACACACGAGCACAGTTGCAGGGGAGGGACCGCGGGTTGTACATCCGAGATGAGCCAAGAACAAAGGCTGAACAGGGAATTGAGCGGACGCTTACTTGGGAGGATCCGGAGATGATAGCTCGCCGAAACAGGAAGGAGAAGCGCCACAAGGAAAAAGTGGGGATTGACTTAGGTCTGGAAGGAGGCGGCATTCAGGATGCACCGATAGCCGATGGCGAAGATCTTGCAAAGAATATCACGGGGACTATTCAGTGCCCTAATGACGGCAAGGAAACAGACACGAACCAAGTGAGTGGTGGAATGGATCCGCAAGAGGCTATGAAGAAGGTGGGCATCTCGACGCCGCAGCGGCTGGCAGAGGTATTCAAGGA